GCACACCAACATTTGTCCCGCCACTGAGCAGAAGAAACAGGATCACCACCCAAGATTACACATGCATCAAGGCAAAAAGGTCAAGTGACAATCAGAATATACCGCATGCTGACTAAATATGATTTGGAGAAAATGTTTTACAAAAACAGCGCAGTCACTACATAACATTAATAGAGCAACCAAAAAAAAAATGTTTCTAAAACGTATGAAAAGGATTACCACTAACAATCCTGGAAGCTGCAGTTGGCAAAAATGATGTGATTTTGGAAAGGTGTCACTGCCTTGTACACAGAACGGATTTAATACTGAAGCATTTGAGGATAAGAGAATAAGAAAGGATTTAACATCATGTCACATGCCCATGACCCAAAGCCCAGCTTGACTTACACGCACGGACACACAGCCATGCATGCGCACTTTTCAAACCAACAAATATATGAGCAAATGGACAGCAGTTGCATATGTTGGACCGTAGAAGGGCATGTGTGGTTTTGAAGTTATGTTCAATTAAATACGAACCAACAGTACTCTTTATTAGTTTTACAACTTTTTTTTTAACTAAGTGACACAAAATCAAATGAGCAAATCTGCTTCCCTGCCCCCCCCCATAAAAAAAATAATGGAAGTCAATGTTACTCATCATGAAATCTAATAAGCTAAAATACAGAGAATTTGCATCCTTGTAAAGACACCGTTGATCAACTGCTCTTGAGTTGGATCACATTAGTTTGTGTGTTTGATGTTATTATTGTAATTCTTACTGTGATTTGTCTCACAGCAAATGGAAATGGCCTATAATGTTGTCGAATAATTATGTTCGACAAATTCAAGTCATGTGCAGCATGTTGTGGTCGTCACTAACACATCTTCCTCACAGTTGAGAGGTTCTGGGTTTGAATTTTTGCCAGGATGATCCTGTGTGAAGTTTTCCCATGTAAAATACAAACACTTACATATCAGGTGAAAGCAATGAATGCTTGCTTTTGCTTCCAACTACCTTTGACATCTTTTCTCAAGACATCATGCAAAATCAAATTGTTGCTTGACGCTGACCAATAATGATGGGAAATTGCTTCTGAGATCCCCACTGATCTAAAGAAATGCATCCATTCTCATTGACAACCACTGCTAAATTCAATTTCGTGCCTGCACTCAGCCTACCATCCAGATTTTTGTCACTTAAAAGAACCCTCAAAGGTACCTGGAAGAACTTCCAAATGCAACCCAGAAATTCCTGAGCCAAGATTTGTGTCTGAGACAATCTATTGCTGCGGGGCGCTGGTCCACTATGTCATTCAATTTATTTTTATTTCATGTAATTTATGATTCAACCCCCTCCACTTCGCTATGACCTACTTATCACCAGATGATCATTAAATAAGGGTTATTGAAATTTCCCTTTTTCCCAAAGAAATTCAGAGGTATCAAGGGGGCTATGAAGATGTGTGTGGGGGCGTGCATTATTTCAATTAGCCATCTTAATAAAAAGTAGTAGTAGTAGAATTAATGCTTTGTTTCTACGTGTGTGTGTGTATGTGTGTGTTTTTGTTTTATGTTTTTTGTTTTTACAAGAAATATACATTTTGCATTATGGCTCATGGAAGGGATACACATGGCATGAGGAGAGCAGATAAGGCAGTGAATAGTTATGTGAAGGGCGACTGGCTTATTCATGACAGGCTTCAGGAAGCTCCAATTTTCATAGTGCTTGTGCTCTTTCGGGTGTGGGTGAGTTGGAGCTTAATCCAGCTGACTTTGAGCAAGAGGTGGAGTCCACCCTGGACCGGTCGCCAGGGAATAGCAGGGCACATTTATACAAACAATTCAAGTCAATTATCATCTTCAATTAAACTGGGTTGTAACAGTCCAAGTTTTCAAACAGTCCTGATAATTTGCAAGAGATGACAATATTCCACATCCATTTTCAATACCACTTATCCTGTTGAGGGTCGCATAGAGCTGGAGCCTACCCCAGCTGACAATGAGCAAAAGGCAGACTACACTGTGGATTGGTCAAGAAAACAGTCAAGAAAACAGACAACAGCACATAGATACTGTTTGGCAGCAAGGTTTAAAGAGAGTTTTAAATTTAATCTGTTTTTGTGTTATAAACTAAGATTAAAGTTTGGTGCAACAGAGTTTCAATTTAAACCATGATTTAATGGAGTGTTAGACCTTGTTGGTTCAATCTGGCCATAATATAGCTGTCATCGAAAATCAGCTTGCTGTTTGCCTCTTTGTCGGGTGTAATTTTTGACTTTCCTCAGTTTTAACCATCGCTTTATCACTTGTGGACTACATAGTGGTCAAAGCTGAAGTTGTATTGTCAAAACATTTCAGACAATGTGATATTAATTAATTGAATGAATAGATTAGAAATATATATGTTAGAGGTTGGATTCAGGATACCGGGCTTCTTGAAACGACTCAAATGAGATTACATATTAGCTACTGTGGACAAATCAAGCAAAAATGCCGATGGAAATGAAATCTGACATTGAGGCTCAAAGCTCACAACTTTGCAAGCAGAAGGAAACAGATGGGAATGCCTCATCGCCAGCAGTTTGTCGAGCTTGGTGTGTGGCATCAGATATAACACACATCTGTAATAATGCTCACATTCAGTTGCTTCTTTTTGCGCATGTTTCACAGAGGCTCCTTTAACTAGCACTGACAAGTAAGTCAGGCTTAACTAAAGCTGCAGAGACTAAATTCTTTTTCAACTTCAGTGTTATATGACTTGCTTTTTAAAAATGGACCTGTACCGAAATTTCTTGACAAGGGATACACAATCCAGTCTCACTCACACACATGATCAAGGTGGGTGTGTTTTTGCAACAATGCAATCAGCAGCAGTCTAAAATGATGATGCACCAGCTCGGTTTACGGTACCTCCCTAACATTAGTGACAGCGGCACAGCAACATTCTTTCATTCTTTCACATCTTTTTTCAACACCATTTTCTTGCAGCCACAAAAACAAAACAATGACTGAAATCACTGTATAACAGGCACACCAAATTTCTGAGGTTGTATTTTTGATTAGGCAAACAAGCTGTACCCAGCCATTTTGTATGCACACAAGGAAACCAAATGATATGATTTCAATCACCAGAACATGCTGAGAACACAAACACATCCTCAAAGGGCTTATTAGTTATGATCATGTACACCGGCAACCTGCGGCTCTGGAGCCGCATGCGGCTCTTTAGCGCCGCCCTAGTGGCTCCCTGGAGCTTTTTCAAAAATGTTTGAAAGTGGAAAAAGATGAGGGAGGTAAATATATATATATATATATATATATATACACACACACACACACACACACAAACATGCACACATACACATTTGATCAGAATTGTACAGCTTTTTCAAAGCATATAGCCATATACACTCGGATTTATAGTCATACAAAGTCACCCAAAAAAAATAAATCAGGAAAGCACTGTTGGGAAAATGTGCCTACTTCCATTTTTCTTTATTTGGGATGTCATTTTAAAACGTCAAGTCGTAATATAGTCAAATGTGCTTCAAACTGCAGTTCCATCCCAAACCACCATAAGACTCATGAGTGTTTTGGGGTAAAATTCATCATGTTCATTTAAACCAATCAGCATTCGATTAGCAACCAACACGGTCTCATTTCATCAAGAAAAAAGACAAAAAAACGATATACTCTATTTTAATTGTGGATATTTTAACTTTGAGAAGGCAGTGGATGGAGTCCAGCAATGGCTCGAGTCCTCTCAGTTGTTCAAGTTTCTTTATCGACCACACCATAGCTTTGACGTTTAACTTGATACTGTCCCACTCTATTTTCATTTACCCAGTCTATTTCATGGATGTTTTTAGTTATTGTGAGCAGTGTATGATTTGTTGAAGCAGTGATCATTCACAAACAGCAGTAAACAATGTGCTTTTGTTGCCATGATGACAAGAATAGTGCTTGCTCATTTGGGGTGAACTGCATTTTCTAAAGAAAATGTGTGTAAATGCACAAGGCAGCATGCTTCTACAACTGCTCAACACAAAGTGATTTAAGATGTCAGGCTGAGGAAATTAATTTAACGGCATATAATTCATGTTGGTTAAATATGCTGCTCTGTCATTTCTCATGTCATGTTGTAATTTTCCCAGTCTAATTAAAATGGATTTCCAGTTTTTTAGAAACGTGCTTTTCAAATGAATTTGGATTTTCTGTGTTTGAACTTTATGTAGACTACTCACCACCACCCCCCCCCCTAATTTGGGTGACATGCTCAATTCCTTTGTGTTTCATAGCTACTATGAAAGTGTGTTTGAGGCCCTTGGAGATGATGCATTCCAAGGTGCGGCTCAGCCTCTTGAGTGTTCACTTATTTCACAAATCTCTGATACTGTCATGTTTTGCGTGATGGCAGTGCAGAGGACCACAAAAAGCAAGGAGGCAGGGAGGACCAGGGTGGAGTGACCAAGATGTATTTAACAAATATGCAAACAGGAATACACAGGAGAAACTAACTCAAAAACTCATTCAAATAAAGTCCAGCAAAATCACAAGAAATCAAAGCAGCAAAAATCTAAGACAGAAAACAAAACATGACACGTGCACACAGCAACAATGACCCGACAGCGAGTGGTCGTGCCGGGACTCCTTTTAAACAAAAACAAACTAATGACACAATGACCAACAGGTGTGCAGCTGCAGGCGGAGCCCTACAGTGCCACCTGTTGGTCACAAACAGAACCATGACAGATACCTGTCGAAGTCGACCACACTTTAGTCTCATGGCTGAAGCTAGTTCAATGATACTGATGATATCAAGGATTATATCTGCAATAAATCAAATCGTCTTTGGTTTTAAGGTGACATCTTTCTCGAGTCAGGCAATCGGGGAGAAACAAAAAAAAAACCTTTTAAAAAGCTGTCTGATTTTCTGAGCAGATTTGTGTTGCTGTTTTTTTTGTTTGTTTTGTTTTGGGTTTTTTTGCATAGTGATAGCATTGTGTTGTGTGTTGCAGGAATGCCTCTCAGTCTGGACTGCAAGGCATTTTTTGGCTACAGTGGAGAAAACAGGAGGCCGATCATCTACTGGATGAAAGGAGAGAAGTTTGTTGAAGAGCTTGCAGGACACATTAAAGAAAGTGATGTCAGGTAATTACAAGCATTACTTTGCATTGACAAGTCAGACCGCACAGCAAACAACAAAGACAGCAGCAAAGTGAGGATGTATGGCAACATCTTAATCACATGTATGACAGCACATTTGACAATAAAGTTGGACTTGACTCGACTTGACACACGGAAGATGTGTTTGAAGGTCAACAGTTTGACCCTTCATGTTGGTGACTGTTTCGATGCAGTCTCACCACAACCGCATTGGAGTTCTTCTAATTAGAGTGAAAATGCTCGTTATTAATCAAACAAATCACACCGAGGATAAATGATGATTCAGTATTGGTGAGTGACTAAAACGTATTTTCATATTGGAATGCTTACAGAAATCTCAAACATTCTAGCATTTGAAAACAAAGGAAAGTTTTTGTTTTAAATCTTGTGTCTTGCCTTGTTTTACTTGTAGTTGTGCTTGTTTTAGTTGATAAGGGACAAGCACTGAATCTTCCAGCCATTCGTCCATCCATCATCTTCCGCTTATCCAGCGATAGGTCGCAGGGGCAGAAGCCTACGAAGGGAGGCCCAGACTTCTCTTTACCCCAGACACTTAATTCAGGCCAACCAGGAGACAGTGGCTCTGTCCAAATTCACAAGGCTACGTCCTCCGAAGGCCGCATTTTCGGCCGCAAATTCAGACACGTGATGTTACCTCCGACGCAACTCAACAGCCCATGGTTTCTAAATTCCCGAAGGACTATTTGCAGACTTCAAAGGCTCCTCTTCATATAGCCTCCGAGGACCGCATAAACCACAGCGAGTTTGGACAGGCTTAATGTGAACTTGGACACCACGTGCGCTTGAGTCACGCCAGAAGTTGTTATGGTTCCGTACCAGTCTGGAACTGGAATGGATATCACAAATGCAGACAAGGATAAGATTGAGCAACACTCAGCACTGATCCACCTGTCGGGTGCCTGAATGTTAACGATTAGAATCGTTGAACTGTACCATTAACCAGCATTGTATGCAACGGCGGCTGATCAAAGAGGGCGCTAGGCCACCACCCTAGACCTCAGCTTAAGTCCCCTTGAGTAAAACAAAAGTTAAATAACGAAAATGTAAACAAAATATCGTAGTAAATATATTTCAAATTATATGTGTATCCTTCTTTATCGTTGGCATCTCATTTTCTGTCACAACTTGTCTTTAGGGGCGCCTTTGCAATGTGACATAGAAGTGTGACGTGCAAATCCACAAAACCATTCAAGTTTATAATTTTTGAGGATATACTCAGGGCTGGTCGTCATCCAGTTGCAGAGCACTCATAGAGAGTTCTACAATTTTATTTATAATTGTAAAATAGTTGCTTTTTGTAATATTGTAATAAAATTGTAAACTAGTGACCAAAATCCTTCTTCTAGTTCTTTTCCACCCAACCCAAGTGTCATCAACACAGTGGTAATAAGAATATGTATCGTAAGCTCAACGAAAATACTTCTAATTTTCCTATTATTTGTCAAGGTTAATTCCGGTGTCTTGTTTCATACTTAATAAGCCCCGTCTTAGGTCTCAGGGCCTCATCTTTGGAAATGGACTCAACACTAAGCCAGCGATTGGCCTCAGAAAGTTTTCTGTCCCAGGGTAGTATGAAAGAAAATAGCAGAATGAGTACTTAAATTTGAAACTAATCATGCCCTGTGGTGTTTAATTAACCTTTACCTGATGAGTTCTCCATCTCTTGATCAAGTCCTCTGGCAACAAATGATCCAATCATCTACTGTTCTAAATCTGACTTATTACATTTGTATAGAGAGATTCCTGCTGTGATGTTTAGGTCCCTCCACCTTGCCGTCACACTAGTTGCCAATGTGCAATGTTGATTCAATGCAATAAAGCTTGACTACACACATGCACAGCTATACAAGTCAAGTCACATTTATTCATATGGCTCTTAATCGCAAACAGTCTCAAAGGGCTTCACATGCCCACAGTTGACAAATATTAACGGCATCCCCCGACCTTACCCCATGAGGGTAAGGAAAATCTTCTGGGGAAGAATGAGAAACCTTGAGAAGTGAGTGCAGACGGGGGACTCCCAGTTCCACGATGACCAGGCTGCAATGGATGCCGAGTGAGCAACATTTGACACAATAGTGTACGATACAAAGTTAGAATGATATAAAAGTCCATTTAACAAGATGAAACCGCTGCAGGGAGACGTCTTCGGAGAGGTGGATCCCTTCCGCTCAATATATAATGTAATACAAGACAACAAGTTATCTTGACAATAAGTGAAAGTAGTTTAAATGGAACACTTTCCGCCAAGAGCACACAAAGTCTCAGGTTATTCAGTTCATTGCTGTCCAGCTACTCAGAATTTTGCAACTCAGCATTCTCATTGTTCACTCATGTGCATTGAATTGCAATACATACATATGGAACGTTCAGAAATTCATTTCGCCTTGCAAGGGCAAACAAAATGGCTTCTTTATCATGTTTATGTCCATCATCAGCCAGATGACCCATCTGTTGTCAACCCCCATTGTGGCTTTATGATTCATGATGATAGTGACAGATTCGTGCAGTCGTTTTTACAACAATGTATTCGCATTGATAGTTAAAGTTGGTGTAAAAATAGAACACACAGTGTCTGTCCATATCACTTCCGCTCACACACCCACACACACCTGCTATGTATTGCTAATCTACTGTTACACTATACATGTGGCAGAAAGGATGTGGTGACCTTTAGGGAAATCCTTTCTCTTAAGTAATCTGTATGACTCTGATGTATGATGACAATAGTTTTAATTCACTTCAGTCTTTACAGATTTAAGAACCACGCATCTATTTGAAAGACTGAACCTTAATTAAATTCCTCAGATTGTCATCTAAATTTTGCTTTCTTACATTAATATGAGATAGTTCCATTGAAACATCGAAACCACCCATGCTTGAAGGCTCACAGAAACAACGAAACCCAAGAAGAGATTTACATTCAAGGTCGATCTATACCCAATCATACATATTAGAAGATTAAAAGAGAAGACTAGTCTTGTAAACTGGTTCTGCAGGCCAAACTACCAATTTCTAATATTGCAGTAATGTGTTTTAGTCTTTTTTTTTTCTTTCGTTTGGTTTTGACTTCAGTATACAGTAAAGTATCTGGGACCATAGCCCACATATTTTTGACATGGTGGAGAGTTTTCAACTAGGTCTTCTGTAAGGGTTGTTTTACCTGGATACAATCATAATAATAATAACAATAATAATAATAATCATAATAATAATAATAATAATAATCAATAAAAAGCAATGAGGCTACTGGGGGTGCATCGAACAAATTATTGTTAACTAAATTTTGGACTTGACTACCACTTTCGTTTCATTTTGACTGCTGGCATATGTTTACATTGTGTCATCAGATTCACTAGCTGCCCCCCCCCCACCACCACCACCACCACCACGCAAGCAATGTTGTGTTAATACTGTCACCAAACATATGTGGAACTGGCCGCAAAGAAAATTGCAGCATTATTTGCATCTGGACATTTGCATTTTGACGATTAGCCGGGGAAATTTTGACAGACAAATTGGCCCTTCGCCGGAAAGGCCAATATGGTCAGTATTTATCACACCATTGCTCATTTCAACTTGTCTCTGGCGATTTGTCGAACGGGGAGTGTGAACAATGAATCGCTCAGAGTTTCACTGACTAAATGTGGTGGCATTGACCAAGAGTATGTATTGTAATTTTAGAAAAACAAATTTGTGTAAGAGGTCCATCCACTAATACAATTGCAAATCAATGTTACATTGTTGTTTTCGCATGCAAAAATGAACGCAGAAGGTATTAAATATGTAAAATGTATCTAAATATTTTGTCTACATGCTCAGCACGTAGCGATTCCCAAACACATTTCAATTGCAGTATTTCTCGGGGTGAGCAGCTGGCAGGTACTGTACCAACTGGTCTATTCAGACTTCTGGTTTCTATAGTTACAGCCATTACAAAATGTATGCCGCTGGTGGCGCGGGACTTTGGGTCTTCTCCTGGACCAAATGTGCTGTTGCGGCAAGCAGCAGCCGTGTGGCTTCTGATTTCAGCGGAAATGGCTTAGCCTGACCCTAAATCAGATTCCAAAACACGGGTCAACCCCTGAGCCAGTTCAATCTGCCTCCTGCCAACTTCCTCCTTGCAGGCCTATGCGGTATCTGACCTCACCATAAGGACAGAAGCTTTTTGCACCTGCTGCACTGTTTTCTACACATGCCTTCTTGCTCCATCTGCCCTACTTTTTAATGCACTCTACTCCGCTGCACTCAACTCAACTCCATTTCTCTATGCATCATTTACTCCTTTCTATGTTCTTATATCATTTTTCCTGTTCTTTTGTCCCCGCTGTTGCCTATTTGTCTTCTTTCCTTATGTGTCTTCCTTTTAAAAATTTTAGCACAGCAATTTTGGGAACATTAACCTACCTGTCTCTAAGTTCCATGCATTGTGAATATTCTCCTTCCTTTGTATTCTTCATGTAATTTCCACCACTGTTTTCCTTCATTAAAACATGAACAAAAAACACTTTCCATGTGTTCTCGTCAATGTTTAAAATATCATGGCTGACATGTAATTTTGAATTTCTGTGTTTGCTTATCCAGGATTTTAAGGGAGCATTTGGGGGAAAAGGAAGTGGAGCTATCCTTAACTTTTGATGCTATCGAGGAGACTGACCTGGCTAATTACACCTGCTACGTGGAGAACCACATAGGGCGGCGCCGTGGGAGTGCTATACTTCAGAAGAAAGGTACAAAAATCCTGCCACTTGTCTTCCTTTTTCTCACAATAGTCCGACAATTGTAAAACTTGAGAAATTAGCCGAAAACAGAGATTCTATCACACTTGTACACATCTGTTGACGACAGACACATAATGTATGGGCACAATAATTAGCAACACTTGGCGTCAACAAGCAGAAGTGTTTTAATTTACTCTCCATTAATTAATAATCTAACAGTGTCATCAGCAATGAGATGTCCACATAGGTGCGTGATTTACAGTATATGCCACATGGAAAATGATTGAGAGACTATTTGGTTATGCCTTGTGTCTGGACAGTCTTTGACTGGCTAGTTTATACCAGGGGCTTCCTTCCATAGGGATATGCCTAGAACACCTCACCAGATAGGTGTCCAAGAGGCATCCTAACCAGATGGCCAAGGCACCTCATCTGGCTCCTCTCAATGAGGAGGAGCGTAGGCTCTACCGAGAGCCCCCGCCCCCTCCCCCGTCCCCACCACAACCACACCCACCCCCGGATGACCGAGCTTTTCACTCTATCTCCATGGGAGAGTCCAGACATCCCTGCTGAGGAAACTCATTCCGGGCCGCTTGTATCCGCGATCTTGTTCTTTCAGTCAAGCTCCACAGCTCGTGACCAAAAGCGAGGGTAGGAACACGGAATGTAAATCTAGAGCTTCACCTTTTGGCTCAAATGCTTCTTCACCACAACAGACTAATGAAGAATCTGCATCACTGCAGACGCTGCACCGATCTGCCTGTCGATCCCCTCTTCATCCTCCCTCTTTCATGAACAAAACTTCAATTTACTTGAACTCTCCCACTTGGGGAAGGGTCTCATCCATGACCTGGAGAGGGCATGATACCCTTTTCCGACTGAGCACCATTTGGAGGTGCTGCTTTTCATCCGAACCGCCTCACACTCGGTCTCCTCAGAGCTCCCTGAGGGACATGGTCAAATGATTAACATCTTGGACTGACAGGTGATATCCAAAATGTGCACAGCCAAACAGTGCCTGGAATGACCGAGGAATATGAGATAAGAAAAAACATGATCTCATCATTGCCACTTTTGAGATTCAACTTAAAAATGCATGAGAGTTTCCTTTGTAAAACATTTACAACATGCCTTGTGGCATCTGTGGCCACAAGCCAGAGACAGAGAGAAAACTACAGACAAAGAGATAGTGACACAGTGCAGGGGAGGGGGAATTCTCTCTTTCCTCGATTGCGTTGGACAACAGGTCTGAAATAGGTGTGCAATTGGATATGAATATACTGGGACATTGGTTTGAGAATGACCACAAAAATAAACCTACAAATAGCAATAGGAAACACAGAATAACACAAGAAATGAAACAGAAAAATGAAAGGGAGATGGAGAGGGAGGCAGTGAACTGAAAACAGGTCCCAATGTCTTTTGCCTTGGGTGTCAAATCTATCTTAGTATACTTAACTAGCACCCCAGAGACTCCAGAATGCACGCACTCACACACATACACAGACACACTCATGTTTGCATGTGCTCAGCAAGATCATACTGACTCACTTTTCCAGTGGGGGTCATCAGGGTAGGTCATGATTGCTTAACACAATAATAAGTAGGATGAAGAGAAATGTGTGCATGCGTGTGGTATGGGGGCAGGCTTGTTCTTGGGTATGAGCATGTTGCTGTACTTGAGATATACACACAAATTTTTAAAAAGGTGACTTTTGTGGGTTTAGTTTGCATTGCTGTAAAACTGGACTGCATCAACTGGAAATTATTATCATTTGCTATGTGTGACGTAAAGACAAGAGTAAAGTAAAGTAGCAGTTGTAGTCGTAGTCTGAAGAAGCAGCGCATAACCACAGTGGCAGAATGCTGCTAAAAATACTCAGCAATAATATGGTGATAGAAACTCATTCGTACCTCCAATACGCCAATATATTCTTGCTATAAAAGATATTCTCAAATAAAAATGTCAATACTTTCAACACTTCAGTCATTTGAGGTAATGTATATCATTAAAATGACCGCAATGGACGTAGCTAAACCAATGTATTGACTTGTGACTATCTTGAGTATACCCGTTTATTGGGAAATCATTTTTCTTCCTCCTCACTCAGTGCATAATGCATAAGCGGAGTAGCACGCTGCGGGTAGATAATGGCAGACTGTAAATGAAGTCATCTCATGCGGGGAGCTGTTTGAGCTACTCAGCTAAGATGAGCTTGGTGATATTTGGAAGGTGCTACAGCAACACAACAAACCTTATAAGACTCATTAGGTAAAACCACAACACAGAATGTGAGGCATTTATCCAGTGGCGGTTCTGGGGAGGGGCCAACAGGGACCGGTGCCCCTGTAGCACTGATTCTGGACCACCCTGTTCCCCCCCCGAACGTAGACTATACAGTAGCGCCCAGTTGCCGACGCCAAAGGTGGAACTAAATTGCCTGGTTTAACATTCTAGTCGGACCTTTTAGTGCACTGCACAACTGAAAAAAGACGAGCTCGAAGATGAGAAGCAGCCCCCAGAGAAGCAGTCCCAAGATTACCTCGACGACAAATGATATTATATTGTCAAGGTAAGACCACAACACAAAACCAAGCAAGCCCGCAACAGTAGGGTTGCTGAAGTGTAATTCCTCTTCACGGTTAAAAATTTTAAGTTAAAAATGAAGAGACAGATGAAGATCCTGAGAATGAGGAAATTGAGACTGTCTGCATGCGTGTGTGTGCGTGTGTACGATGCCTTTTAAAATTGGGACAATTAGATGCATGTAAAACATCTAGCTTCACTGCGTTTGCAATTTTAGTCCCTGGTCAGGCTTTAGAATGTATTAATTTATATTTACTGAATACAATAAATGAATAAATAAATTAATTAATAAATGGAATTAATAAATAGCATTCGTGAATACATTTTAGACAATTATGTGTGTCTGAGTGCCTAAACAGTAGTGTATATGCTGTGTCCACGCAAAAATTATGTTTACATCTATTCGGTTTGTCTTTCTCCACAGACATCAGCAAATGTAAAGAAGACCCGCCAATGCAGAATGGAGTTTTTCCACATTAAATCTTGGGAAAACATACCTCATGTCCACTATGAATGATAATAGATTAAGCAATCTTGGTGTACTTTGCATTGAGTCGAGAAGGTCAAAAGCATTGAATCTTGAATCACTTCGGACGGTTTGCCAGAAACCACCAAAATCTCAGAATACAGTTGTTGTAATAGTAGGGGCAGCTTAAGACTGTTCCACAAGATCTGGACCTATATGAATCTTTTATCAGCACTTAATTCAGTACTACTGTGATTATTATCCTGTTTTTCATCGTCACTGTAATGTTATGTCTGCAAAGGTTTAAAAGTTTGATGAAAATAAAAAGTCAAATAAGATTTTGAATCTTTGTCTTTTTGCCCTGGTTTGAATGTGCCCCTCTATCAAAACCCCTGGCCCCAGCCAGGCCCCCTCAGTGAAATTGATCAAGAACCGCCACTGCATTTATCATGACGTGGGCAGAAGAGGAAAGCAAAGTGTCAAATGCTGCTAGGGCAAGACAGACCTCTCTGGGGGAGACCTACGGTGATGCAGGCAGACGTTGTCCAGATACAAATGGAAAAAAGTTTTATTTGTGGAGCATATTAGCCAAGTATAGCGTTTGGTATGAATGTTTTTTTTCGGGCACGATTTCAGACAAAAGTGTTACGATACGAAAATAATTCAATATGACGGTCATTTTTCAAGCTGGCCACCAAAATGAAATGTGGCCAGAGTGTTCCTTACAGGACATGTTTTCAGAAAAGAAAATCTAAAAAATATATTTGCCAAAATGGACTGCTAATGCCGGGTGTCAATGAGAATTAGGGCTCATTGCTTGAAGTAATTGTATCAAAAAGAAAATGTTCAAACAGGTTTCAGCCATCCGGATAGTAAACTAGAGGAATTGCCTCCGGCTCGTGGACCTGAAGAGGCCTATATCTGGGTATTTTTACATGCCTGGCAAGCAGCAAGAGTCCAATAGCTATCTCATGGTTGAAGCCAATGACACAAAGATTGAACCTCGTGCCTTCTCTGCAATGGGCATGGGGAAAATGTCAGTTTTCTTTGGCAAGGGGGAGGACATTCAATGGATGCCAATCTATGATCTTTAAGCCTCTTTGGGACCAGAAAAAAAATGGGACACTATTCTTCCATACATTTTCCGGTTGTGATGTGGTATCACGAATCAGTGACAAAGGGAAAAAGATTGCATGGCAGACATGGAATGTTTGTAGGTGTGGGTAAGGCATTGCCAATGATCCTAACTGTCCATTGCAGTCGGAGTTAGTCCTTTTTCCAAACTGTGATGGAGGAACACAGGCCTGATTCAATGACTGCTGTGTAGAACTGTCTTAGCAGCTCCTGTGGCAGGTCGTGCTTCCTGAGCATCCTCAGGAAGTACATCCTTTGCTGAGCCTTTTTCAGGATGAAGTTCATGTTGACCTTCCACTTCATGCCTTAAGAGACTATGATTCCCAGGAACTTGAAGGTCTCAACGGTTGACAGAGGGCAGTTGGATCATATGAGGGGCAGCTGTGGTGAAGGATGCTTCCTGAGGAATAACAACTGGACCATGATCTCCAAATGATGGGAGTCAGGCATATGAATAGGCAGTAATACCTTGTCATTATCATCAGTGTCCATACGGAAAAGACCCAACATACTGCATGTGGGGAAAAAAGTCCGTGGAGGAGGAACATGACAGCATGCTCGACTCCAATGCCAGGCGGGTAGGCGAACTGCAGCGATCCCGTCTGGACCTGCTGCCTTCTTTTCCTTAATCCTTCGCAGTTCTTTTCTCACCTGGTTAGTAGAGAGGAACAGATTGGTGTAGCAAGAGTGGGGATTTAGGAGAGACAGGGTGCTGACCAGGGCTGCTGCATTGTCTGTGTTGGGGGGCAGGGGTGCTTGTCTGATCAGACCGACTGAAGTAAATGTTTAGATCATCGTTCACTGCTTCTCAACCATAGTGTC